CGCTCTTCAAGTGATCCCCGGTTCCACTCACCCACCAGGTGGTTGTCAGCAGTAGTCTGACGTCTGAGGAGACCGGGTACAGAAGCAGGGCTACAGCCTTTGTGTTCTGAGGTGGGACTTAGGCGACACGGCCAATGGAAGCTGGGGAAGCTTCTGACGTACAGTTCAAGCCTCCAAACACTGTTGGTGCGCATTTTCTCTCCGCTGCGTCTGACGCTGCGTCTTACTCAATTATATATAAGGGAGAGATACTACCTAATCAATTAGGTCCAGGAAAACCTACAGTCATTGGAATGTCCATGTAATGTCCTATCTTTTGCTCCATAATTTCTGGTTGATTGCCCCATATCGTTCCTTCAGTAATGTTCCAGTTATTCCTGCCAAATGCAGGTTAACTGTGTGAATATGAATAATAGCATATGGCAAGTGAAGTACTGAAACTGTGAAGCTAAAGTACAGGTAGTAAAAGATAGTTGTTTAAATGGTTAAGGGGTATTAAAAAATACCTTGCTGCTGAAAATATGTTAAAAACAAGAAAACTTAATAAGCTGTTTGCTGGTAAGTGGTCCATATAGCTTATCTGGTGACATGGAATCACTGAGGTAAGACTCCTCTTATCAATAAACACCACTGTGAAGATCGTAATAATTTTGATTTAGATTAGTTTTGTGTTGATTTTGTGAAGTCAAAGATATTTTAAAATACAACCAAATTACACTGTATTAAATTTGTAATGGGCATTTTTAATAATCTGAATTGATTTTTTGTGGATACCTACTGTATTGCAGTGTTAAGTCATAATAAAGTTTTTTAAAGTGCCTTGTGCTAAAAAAAAAATATGCAAAAGCAATACTACACAGGTTGCTTCCATGTGGCTATTTCACTCCACCTTGGCTGTCTAAGCAAAGGGCACCAGTTCTTCTTCAGAGTAGCCACATGATGTAGGCTGTTTTCAAATGATCTTTTTTTGCTGCTCATTTTCAGGATTTGAACTATAACAAATTATTTTAAAGCTGTCATACACCTTTATTGTCCCTCTGCTTTCCTTCTGCAATCTCTCTGTGCATTTTCAAACTGCCTTTCAGTCAATGTTTCCTCCTGGTGCACAACTGCATTGCTTTAGCCGTTCACCTGAAAGGTGTGCCATGCTTCAAAAGGCACCACCAGTATCAGTTCCCATTTCTGTTTTTAGAAAATTACTGAATATTAATCTATCAATATAACTATGCATATACCAACGTAACCTTTGCATTTGTGTAATCATTTATGTGATACTTATTCTTTATACATTAGTATATATTTTTAAATAGTGTAGTTTAAATAGTTATAACATGTGGTCAGAGAAGCCAATGCAGAGAAGCCAACCAACAACGGACATTTCTCCAGATCTCCTCATGGGTCAACCAATCAGTATAGTCCCTCTGATGTTGCAGGGAGCATTCCTAAATTTGAGCTGTCACCAAAAGAAGAAGAAGAAGAGAAGAGATTGGATTTATACCCCGCCCTTCACTTGGAGTCTCAGAGCGGCTTACAAACTCCTTTCCCTCCCCCTCCCCACAACAGACACCCTGTGAGGTGGGTGGGGCTGAGAGAACTCTGACACAAACTGCTCTTTTTCAAGGACAGATGTGCCAGAGCTTGTGACTGACCCAAGGTCACATCAGCAGGTGTGAGTGGAAGAGTGGGGAATCAAACCCGGTTCTCCCAGATTAGAGTCTGCACACTTAACCACTACACCAAACTGGCTCTCTATACCATTACACCAAAAAAATATGGCATTGTATGTAAAGAAAGAAGGACTGAATGGATGTGGAAACACTGAAGTAAGGGACACCATATGAAAGCTCCATTGCCACTGTCCTTCAGCAGGAACTGCAGCAGCAATGGAGGTACACCACAATAGCAACATTAGGTGAAAGGTACCACTGTCTTTCATTCATCCATCTTCCAGAGTTTCCCCTGCTTTGGTACCCTTTCCGGAAAGCCCCTAGACCAATTGGGATGTGAAGGTGCTGATTTTTTTTAACCTTCTGGCCACATTTAGGCATCATTTAGCTACCATCGTCCCAATCACAACTATCATCCTCCAACAACCAGAGGACTTTTTGCAACTTTGGTTTTAGTCTACAGTTATTATATTGCAATATTGTAATATAGCAACTACTGATGTCTTTAAAAGCTAGCAAAAAGCCCTCTGATGGCACAGAGGGTGGGAGAGAAGTACCAAGGAAAGTACATAGAATCCCCCCATGTGGATGCGCCACTGCTGCAGCAAACACTTTCGCATTCACAGCAGCAACAACTGCGCAACTGTGGTATCATCACCATGTGGGAACTATCACAGTAAAATTGATTTGTATTCTACATTCCGTTTTCCAGAGCATTGCAAGAGATACATCACAGAATGGCTGGTTTTGTAAATGGCACATGATGGTTAAGTTTTCATACCAGATGTCCCTTGTGTTGGCATCGTATTGAAAGTTCCAAAATTCTGGTGAGGGAATGCACTGCTGGGAGAAAGTGAAAAAGAAAAAAAGTAAGTGCCTTGCAAGATGACAGCTGTACACGAATAAATAAATCAGCTGAAATACATGGAGCAGCAGTAAGTAAGGGCGGGTATGGTGCATTTACAAAACATGACCTGACGGAGTCCTGAGTCTGACGGAGAAATCTGGGTTCAATAAACGGGGTTCAAATAAGTAAAACTACGTTCAGTAGAAGCAAAGTCTTTATTCAGTTGACCATGGTCAAGGAAAGTATCAATCTCTACATAAGTTCAAGACACTGAAGGAAGTTGTGCATAAGGTCCCATCATTAAGAACATAAGAAGAGCCATGCTGGATCAGACTAAAAGCCCAACAAATACAACATTCTGTTCACACTGTGGAAGACTAAACTGCCTCTAGGAAGCCCACAAAAAGAATGACTGCAACAGCATCCTCCTGCACATGCTCCCCAGAAACTCACATAAGAAGGCATACTGCTTCTGGTACTGTCGCGTGTATCCATTATGATGAGTAACCATTGATAGCCCCGTCCTCCATTCAGAGAGGTTTCATGTGGTTTGGGAGCCAGACACTTACCACCAATGTTCCCTCTAAGCTGTGGAGTCTTGTGAGCAAAAATTCTACTTTGTGAGCTCCTGGCATTAAAGTTGTGAGCAAGCGATTTGGCTACTGCATAAATTCGTTTGCTCTGGAGCCATCCTTCCTGGGCTAAGACAAAAATGTGTGAGCTAGAGGCTAAAAAACTGTGAGCTAGCTCACACTAACTCAGCTTAGAGGGAACACTGCTTACCACTAAAGGAAACGTGATCCCTTTGAACTTTAAAGTCAGCCAAGTCTGGCTTCAAATGATAACTTTTCCCCCCTTGTTACACACTGATTCTTTTCTGATACCTTGTGAAAGACATCCACACTGAACCAAATCTTGTGAATGTGTACTTGGCTGCCTTCCCCATCCATTTGCCAAGAATCAGTCTTTCCTACATGTGGGCTTGCTGGGACTGGGATGAAAGTAGTGGACGATTATGTGAATTCCTTTATAAAGCAGCCAAGTCAGGTTCTGTTTGCAAAGCAGTGGCTTGATAGTACTAGTAGGTCTCACAGATACAAAACAGGAAGCAGCTGTAAGGCTGGACTGGCCTTGCCTGCGTAGCCATTTGCTTCTATCATCCCAGGCAAAGACAAGAACTTCCACGTGCAGTACCACAACCACCTTGTATCTTGCTCATGGCAGTGTCACCATGGCTGTGCAGGTGCGTACAAAGATCAAAGGTTCACAGACTGGGTGGGTGTGCCAATATTGCATGCATAGCAACTGGGCCAAACTATACAGGATTCTGGAGTTCTGCAATTTACATGGGACCTAAAGATCTCCTGGAATTTCAACAGATCTTCAGAGTACAGAGATCAATTTCCCCTGGAGAAAATGGCTTGTAGGAGGGTAGATTCAATGGAATTAAAGCCCGCTGAGGTCCCTTCCCCAAGCGCCCCCCCCCCACATTCCACCCCAAATCTTCAGCAATTTCCAGACCCAGAGTTCACAACTCCAGGTATATACTTAGGGTTGCCAACTGTGAGCTGTGAAATCCCTGGAGATTTGGGGTTGGAGCCTTAGGAGGGGAGAGAGCTCAGCAGGGTATAATGCCACAGAGTCCATTCTCCAAAGCAACCATTTTGTCCAGGGGAACTGATCCCTGTCGCCTGGAGGTCAGTTGCACTTCCAGGAGATCTCCAGGCCCCACATGGAGATTGGCAACTTTATGTTTGGTTACAGTTTCTAGGTTATGCTTACTTATAGGAACTTGTATTGATGTTTATTGTTATGCTTAGTGTCTTGTCATATTAAAACTAATAAAAAGATTTTTTTAAAAAAGGAGATTGGCAACTATGTTTTTACCGTCAAGTCACAGCTGACCTATGATGACTCCATAGGGTCTTCAAGTAGGGTTGCCTGCTCTGGATTGAGAAAGGGAGAGGGGGGGGGGGGTGGAGCCGGGAGAGGGCAGGGCTTGGGTAGGCGAGGGACCTCAGCATGGTACAAGGCCACAGAGTGCACCTTCCAAACCAGCCATTTTCTCCAGGGGTGATCTCTGTAGTTTGGAGATCAGCTTTAAAAGCAGATCTCCGGTTCCCACCAGGAGGTTGGTAACCCTCTTTTCAAGGCAAGAAAGGCTCAGACATTGTCATTGCCTGCCTCTGCCTAGCAACCCTGGTGCTGCTTGGCGGTCTCCCATCACAGCTACTAACCGGGGCCAACCCTGCTCAGCTGCGGAGATCAGGCCAGTCTGGTTAGGACATTCGTCTTTAACAGCTAGTGTTGCCAACTTCCACGTGGAGAACAGGCATAAAATGGATACATCGGGAATGCCTAAACGTGGGCTGTGGTCACACACGCGAAATAATCGGCTTTCAATCAACTTTCAGTGCAATTTCCAACAGGATCTTTACTGTGTGAACGGGCTAAATCCAGTAGGAAAGTGGATTGAAAATGGATTATGTCGTGTGTGTGACCGCATGGCATGTTTTCTTCTCTCTCCCCCCCCCCCCCTTCTACGCTACTCTG